TAAGCAACAAACGTTGCAGCCAAAGCCTCAATGTGAACCACCACTGGCTGGCGCTGCACTGCTAGCATGATCCCCACATACCCCTTGAAATGCGTGCGCTCAAATGCATCCACCGGATACCTTGCTGCCTGGGACCACGGAAATGCATGAATGTTGGAAGGGACAGGGAAGGCACAGGGGGGTGGGTTACAGTAAGAGTTTGCGTAACGCACGACCAGCAAAGCAATGTCAGGAAACACTATCCTTCATTGTCGGTTGAATAAAGCGCCTTCACAACAAGTTTGAGAGTCTTGAAGGGCATTGTTGTGAAAGACATTCACATTCTTCAGTGTGCACCTCATGCCTCAACCTCACCTCAATTCACACGTGCTCATTATTGCCGTACCGATTCATTGACCCCTGTGAGTGAATTGCCAACATCAAGAGTGGACCAGCTTCTCAAAGGCCTCGGTGGGGGAGCCTCCCAGTCGTGCACTTGTCTGTGTCAGTCAGCTTCATGGCTGCAAAGAGTGACTGCACTGACAGCTGGGCAGCGAGCTGGTTCTTTGCAATGCCGTATGCTGCCTCCACACTCGCCACCACCGCATATGCCCAGCAAGCATCTGAGAGGAGAAGCATGCAATGAGGGTGAAGAACACAGCACAGAGGGATGCAAGCATTTGCTAGGTCTTCCAGCAGACTGAACAAACTATAGACTCGCTGAACATGCACTTGAAGCACACGATCACAAAACCAAGGTGCAAAAAAACGGCGTTTTTTACCTTTTTTTTACCGTTTAAAACAGGATCGTATAAAACGGCCGTATAATACGATTAAAACGGTCGAAAGTTGCATTTTGTGTTTGGTGCAAAAAAACGGCCGTTTTATACGACCGTTTTTTTCGTACCACCGTATAATACGGTGTACATTGTTTTTGGCCGAGCTAATAACGCTTAGGGGGGGGAGGACTAGGGGGGGAGGACTAGGTGGATGACGCTTAGGAGGGGGAGGATGGGGGGGATGGTGGAGTAGGAGCAGAATGAGACCTAGAAGGCGACGGACTAGGGGCATGGACATCACATACCTGTTTCAAAGCCGCTAATTACCCCGTAGAGCGATGCAGGCCGCTTTCGCAATCAGGCCCCTTGTTTACGCGTGCTTTTTATACATAAAAAAAAAATCATGAAAAAGGTCTAACAAAAAACGTCGTTTTTTTACCAAAACCCACCGTAAAAAACGGCCATTTAAAACGGACCGTTTAATACGGATGCCTTTTTTTTGCACCTTGCACAAAACAACAAAAAGTGTTGTTGTAAAAAACAGTGCAAAAAAACCTGAAATCAAACGCACTTCTTAAACCGCCCACACACTAACTTGCTAACCTCTTTCCACTCACTGCAATTCCCTTGGTTCTTGACAGGCCACCCAAGGAAGGCCACGGAGTCCCAAGTGTGGTAGTCGCGGATGCTCCATGAATCCTCCTTGGTGGCCGACATTTTGTAGTCCGCACTAACATAGCGGGAGAAGGGGCTGGCTCTAGCTGGTGCGAAAGTGGCCACCGATAAGTTGAGGCCAAGGGCTGTGATGGAGGAGAATGGGCGGACAAAGAGATAGATTTGATTGCAGAGTTGTGGAAGTGAGGTAGGTGAGAGGCCTATAGGGTGTGGGAAGCATAGATTGTTTTTGGCATGCAAGAAAATATCTGCACAAGAAAGGAAGCACATATCATTGCGACAGCCAAAATCCCAATGTAATTGAAGTCTAACCTATTGCACTCGCCAATTTGCCTGATCTGGCTGGACATAATTCTGAAAGTTGCGACCTATCATATGAACTTCCGGTTGACACTATGAAGATATCACTATTGATGCCTGACCTTGTTCTTCATTCAGGACAAACTTGAGCGGAGGAAAGCCTATGAGACACACAACGAGAACAAAAGTACCGCAGGAGCCATAAGATGATGGTCTAGTCTTGAGATACGTAGGGAGTGAACCACATGAATAGCTGGCACACACAAGGTCAAGCATCAACATCGTTGCACAAATGATTCGGTAGTGGCAGCAGCTGTGTGGTAGACATGGGCATTTTACCCGGATGGGTAGCGGGTACTTGACTCAACCCGACATTTTGGCCAAGTCGGGTAATAGGATTCCGACGAATTACCCGTCCGGGTCGGGTCGGGTACTCGGGCCGGGTTATGTGTACCCAAACCCCAGAATTCTCCAGGCCGGGTAATTCGTTACTCGCGGGTACCTAGGGTTGAGCAAAACCGGGTAATTACCCGACCCGACCCGGTTTTTGCAATACCCGACCTCGGGTTGGGTATCTTCGGGTCGGGTCCGGGTCGGGTAATATGCCCTCCCACCCAACTCCCTCCCTTTCACCGCACTGAACTCCTCCCCTTCTACAAACTCCAATTTCCAACCAAACTCCCTCCCTTTCACCGCATTGAACTCCTCCCAGTCTACACACTCCAATTTCCAACCAAACTCCCTCCCTTTCACCGCACTGAACTCCTACCCATCTACAAACTCCAACCTTTTCTCCAACCTCACCCAACTCTCTCCCTTTCACCGAACTTAACTCCTCCCCATGTACAAACTCCAACTTCTCCTAAAAATGCTCCACTCGTCCCCCCTCACCTCCCAAACTGTTTTGCAACAAAACCTAAATCACAGCGCGACTTACGCCCATGTCTAAATGGAATACCCGACCGGGTAACGTTTCGGGTAGCGGGTATCGAATACCCGCCCGGGTAACCCGGATCCGACCCGCCGGGTAATAATCCGGAATCCGGATACCCGACCCGCCCAAAAAGCGGATCCGGGTCCCGGGTACCCGACCCGGCCGGGAATTTTGCTCAAGCCTACAGGTACCCGATCCAATTCCGGGTCGCGCAATTACCCGACGGAAACCAGTGCGACGTTTTCCGTTAGGGTTGAGAAAAACCGGGTAATTACCCGACCTGACCCGGTTTTGTAATGCTCGACCTCGGGTCGGGTATTTTCGGGTCGGGTCCGGGTCGGGTAATATGCCCAAGACCCTAACCCGGACCCAGCCTTAGGTAGACATGGTTAAATCGCATCGCATTTTATCGCATTTTGCGATAGCGATTTTTTTTTTTTTTTTTTTTAAAAGAATATCGCGGCGATGAGATGCGAGAATATCGCGCGATATTTGCGATATCGCGTTTTTATCGCGTTTTTTTTTTTGCGATAAAATGCGATATGCGATTTTAAAAAATCGCGCGCGATACTTTTGCGTATCGCGCGCCTATGTTGCAAAAAGCGTGGTTAGCGTTTTAAACGCTAGCGTTTAAACGCAAATCGCTCACGAGCCGGGGGGCAAACGCCAGGAAAACGCTAAATCGGGCAGGGCGCTTAGACTAGAGACTGCTGTCTAGGTCAATATCGTTGCAATTAAGTAGTGCTAACAGTGCAGCAGGGAGCGCTGAGGAGCACCTAGGTCGCCTGATCTGTACGATCGACGTGTTTCTGGTGAGTAGAAGTATGTGAGGAGTGGTGGTTGGGTTTCCTAGATGAGATGGGGTGGAGAGTGGTTGAAGCAATTTTAGGTGTTTGGTTGGCATTGTACCTTCATTAGATTTCACGATGTTCCTGGTTGGATTCGACACATCGCGAACTGTCGCGCAACTTTTTCGTTTCTTTTTTTCGTCGGGCTGCCCCGAAATGAAAAAAACCCGAGCCTTTGCGTTCTTCTAGCGTCTTAGCGTTTTGCGTTTAAACGCAACCGCTTAAACGCAAAACGCTCGCCTGCCAGAGCGTTTTGCGCAACATAGTCGCGCGCGCGAAATTGGCAGATTTGGGAGTTGGGAAAACGAAGCCCAAAAAGGGCTGCGACAAATTCTCTTTGAGAGAACCCCACCCCAACACATTCCCACCTCATTTCCCACCACCACCTCACTCCCATTCCCAAGCTAGCATGCAAACACAATATGCAAACCCTTGGAACTCCCTTAGCCACCTAGCCAGACCTCCACTCCCGCATTCCCTAGCATAGGCATGAGCAAAACCGGGTATTTACCTGACCCGACCCGGTTTTGCTATACCCGACTTCGGGTCGGGTATTTTCGGGTCGGGTACGGGTCGGGTAACATGCCCAGGACCAATACCCGGACCCGGGATTTGGGGGCGGGTAATTTAATACCCACCTGGCGGGTCCGGGTATACCCGACCCGGTTTCCTTGAAAAGCGGGTAGTATTACCCGCGTTTTTCTGCCCTGTTGGGCTACTAAGCCGACGACCTAGATAGTGCTTAAAAAAACGTGAGTTGCGGGAGGGAGTATGAGGTGCGCCAAATCTTTAACAGTTCTGGTGTGGTGAGTGGGTCGTGAGTGGGGCCTGAGTGAGGAGTTGGTTGGGTTTTCTAGTTGGGATGGGGTTGTGTGCGGTTTCTGGGGGTTTGATTCTTTGACCCCCAGAGTCAATTGGTTGGAACTCCAACCAATGTGGTGCTGTGCGGTTGGCTGGATTCAGGTTGGGTTGCAAATTCGATTGAAGAAATTCGATTGGTTTGACTTCCAACCAATTCCCCCCAATTCAACCACTCTGAATGCATCTGTATCTACGAAACCCAACCCCTGCCAATCTACAATGCTCTAAGTGACCTAGCAGCTCACGTAACCTAGAAACTTGATGAAATTTCTCTACCAGCGTGACTAATGTCTCGCTGGTTCCGTCGGGTAGACATGCTACCCGATTTTGGGTCGGGTACCCGCTACCCGACGCGTCGGGTAGCATTTCGGGTACCGGGTATTGAATACCCGTCGGGTAACCCCGACCCGACCCGCCGGGTAATATTCAGGATTTCCGATACCCGACCCGCCCTAAAAGCGGATCCGGGTACCGGGTACCCGACCCGGGCGGGTAGTATGCTCAACTAGACATGGTTAAAATGCGATGCGATGCGATATTTCAAAATTTGAAATCGCATATCACTTTTTAGGGTGCAATGTTACAAAATATCGCACCCATGAATGCGATATATCGCGCGATGCGATTTAATATCGCATCGCATTTAGGGGTCGGAGGAGAAAAGCAGAACGACAAGGCCGACTTTCCTAGGTGTGCGAGGAATTAGGTGAGTGAAGTTTAACGGGAGAATGGGATATCGTAGCCCCTCTCTGATGTAAAGCGTGTTAGAGGGGCAGGGGTTGGACTCAGTGGATGTGGAGGAATGTAGTGTGGTTGAAGTGGTGGAAATTGGTTGGACTTCCAACCAATTGACATAGTGGGGGTCGAGATTTCAATCAACCCCCTAAATCCCTTTGACCGCACACCACCACATTCCATCCACCACCGCCCATGTCAAAATTTGAACCTCCAACCAACTCCCTCCCCTCAACCGCACTGCACTCCTTTTCAACTAGATTTTCCAACCCTTCCTCTCCAAGCTCCTCACAAACACCTCCCCGTCAATTACGCCAACCCCAAACAGCCGCGCATAATTTCCGCACGCCATTACAACCAGAGAACCCTAATTTTTGCTAAGTTCAGGGCCCACGCCCATGTTCCCCCCCCTTTCTGGCGCAATTCCGCGACGCGATATGCGGATGTATGGAGCGTGATATTTTAATAACGCATATCGCGTTATATCGCGCTGAAAAATCCGCGATAAATGCGCGATATCGCAAAAATCACGCGATATAATCGCATCGCATCGCTGCGATTCTTTACTTCAAAAAAATAAAAATCGCAATAGCAAAATGCGATAAAATGCGATGCAATATATCGCGATGCGATGCAATATAGTCATGTCTATGCTCAACCCTACCTTAGCATAGGTACCTCCCTGTTTGCTACTGAAGGAACTAGCTTGGAAGAGAAAAGATTGAATTGAGTAGGGAGCCCAGAGGCTTTTTTGTACAAAACAAGGAGCAAGGAAGAGTTGGAAGGGAAGCTCTCCTATTGGCCATAAAGCGGACCAATGGGAGAGGTTGCTTGTAGGGCAAGCAACCACAAAGTGTTGTGCTCTCCGATTGGCCACAATGTGGACCAATGAGAGAGATTGCTTGGAAGGCAAGCAACCACAAAGTGTGGTGCTTGGTGATTGGTTGGTTCCTAGGCCCAAGGACCATTTGGTTGAAATAGTGCCAACCAAATGTCTAGGACCAAATCCAATCTTGACCAACCCAAATGTGGGGCTGGTCAACCCAACCAACAACCCCCCAATAATCATAATGACTACACCTCCTAATCTAGGCATGCATGTTGTATAGATATATATTTTACAACACAACCCAACCCCCCAACATGCATAAGACTAGAGGACTTGAATTAGGAGGCGGACAAGGGAATGGGGGGAGCGAGTCCAAGAAGGCGAAGGAGGGATGAGTGGGCGGCGTGGGGGAGGGCTTTGGTGAAGGTGTCCGCAAGATTGGCAGCAGAGTCAATCTTGCCCAGCTGGAGGTGGTCACCCTGCACAAGCTCGCGAATGAAGTAGTGGCGAAGCTCAATGTGCTTGGAGCGCCCGTGGAACACAGCATCCTTCGTGAGGTGGATTGTGCTGGCGTTGTCGCACCAGATGGTGGGACAGCGCTGAGGTGCACCAAGCTCCTCAAGAAGGAAGGTGAGCCAGCGGACCTCCTGCGCAGCCATGGTAGCGGCATACAGCTCTGCTTCGCAGGAGGAGAGGGCAATGGAGGAGGAGCGGGTGGAGCGCCAGCTGATGAGGCCGCTGCCAAGAGAGAAGCCATAGCCCTGAGAGGAGCAGCGGTCAGGCCTAGAGTCAGCCCAAGAGGAATCAGAGTAGCCAGTGAGGAGGGGAGGGGAGGGGCCGCCAAGGGTAAGGACGTAGTCCTTGGTCCCCTGAAGGTAGCGGAGGACACGCTTGGCCGCTTGCCAGTGGGCGGCATCATGCTTGCCGGTACCAACGAAGCGGGCCAAAACACTGATGGGGTATGCCAGGTCGGGGCGGGTGGAGACCATGGCATACATGAGAGAGCCGATGAGCTCAGCGTAGGGGTGGGAGGAGGAGGAGGGGGAGGTGAGGGGAGTGAGGTGGTGCCCAACAGGAAGAGGGGTGACCTGAGGGGTGCCTCGAGCCATGTCGAACCACTCCAGGACCTGCTGTAGGTAGTGGCTCTGGGAGAGGGAGATGGTGCGAGCAGCACGGTCGCGGGTAATCTCCATGCCGAGATAGTGCTGCAGCTCCCCTAGATCCTTACACTTGAGCCGGCTGCCAAGCTCACGCTTGACGCGCTCAAGCTCAACGGAGTCGGCAGTGATGAGGATCATATCGTCGACATAGACGAGGATGTAGAAGGGGGAGGGGGAGGTGCGGAGGAAGAGGCTCGGGTCGGCGCGGGAGGTGCTGAAGCCAAGCTCGGCGAGGGTGGCAGCAAGCTTGGCATGCCACTCCCTTGGTGCCTGCTTGAGCCCATAGACTGGTCGACGCAGCTGCCAGACAGAGTCGGAAGGAAAGGGGAGGTGGAAGCCTGCAGGACGCTCCATGTAAATGAGCTTGCGCAAAACCCCTTGGAGGAATGCGTTGGAGACGTCCATGGAGTGAATCTCCATGTTGAGGCGAGCGGCGAGGTCGAGGACTGCGCGAATGGTAGCGGGCTTGGCGGTGGGAGAGAAGGTGTCGAAGAAGTGGACATCGTAGCGCTGGGTGAAGCCCTTGGCGACGTAGCGGGCCTTGTAGACCGACGGCTCGCCAGGAAGCTGCTTCACTCGAAACACCCACTTCCCTTTGACCATGTTCGTGGTAGAGGGAGGGCGGGGCACATCCACAAAGGAGGAGTTGGCAATAAACGCCTCCAACTCCTTGAGGATGGTCGCGAGCCAGAGGTGAGCGTCAGGGCACGCCATGGCCTCCTCGTACGTGGCGGGGACGAAGATGGTGGGGGCGGAGGAGAAGGCGAAGACTGGTGTGCCGCTGAGGTCAGGGGAGATGGGTAGGAGGGCTGGATCATGCAGGTGGAGGTTGAGGAACTCCTCATGGGAGTCCTCGAGGAGGGAGGAGTGGAAAATGAATGGGAGGACTGCAGCTGCTGCTGCTGATGATGCATCTGCTGCTGCTGCTGCTGCTGCTGAGGCGGCTGCTACTGCTGCATCTAGGCTTGAGCATGAACCCGACCCGACCCGACCCGACCCGACTTTGCCCTACCCGATGTCGGGTTCGGGTCGGGTCGGGTCGGGTCAAGTCGGGTCGGAGTTCAGGAAATGTCAACCCGACCCGGGTTTAATAGGTCGGGTACTACCTAACCCGATTTCGGGTCGGGTTGGCACAGGGGCAGGGATGGGTAATAAGCCGACCCGACGGGTCGGGTTTAAGGGTCGGGTCGGGTCGGGTCGGGTCGGGTACCCGAGGGTCGGGTCAACCCTCCGTAAATGTCGACCCGACCCGTCAAAAAGTCGGGTTACCCGACCCGTTGCTCAAGCCTAGCTGCATCTGCTGCTGTCGCTGCTGCTGCTGCGGGTGAAGGCGAGGAAGGAGCGACGGCTGCTGCTGCTGGTGCTGCTGCGGTGGGTGGAACTGCTGCTGCAGCTGTTGCTGCTGCTGTTGGGACTGCTGTACTGGCGCTCGACGGCAGAGTTGGGCTAGTGTTTTGTTGTAAGACTGTCTGAAAAAGGAGGTCCATGAGAGGGGAGAGAGGAGGCAAGGTAGAGGAAGAGAGGATAACAGGAGGGGGGGCACCTAGGACTGCGTCACGCGACCTGGTGTGGGGATACCGGGTGAGGATGGAGCGGGTGGGACGCAGGGGGGGAGGGGGTCGCGGTGGAGAGGGGGGAGGAGGGGAGGGGGGAGGATGGGAGGGAGTGGAGGGGGAGGAGTGGGACGGGGAGGCGGGGGGAAAAAAAGGGTCAGGGTCAAATATGTCACCAGAGGAGGGGGGAGCGCTAGGGATCGAGGCGGCGGGGAATGGAGGAGGTGGAGCGGGGGGGAGGATGGGAGGGGGAGGGAGAAGAGGGGGTGGGATAGTGTCGGACCAGTTGAGGGGCCTGGGAGCAGGGGCGAGAGGGTCAGTGGGGGGAGGAGTGGAATAGTATGGTGTGGACTCATCAAAGACTACATCCCGACTGCGGAGGAAACGACCAGAGGGGGGGTGAAGGAAGAGGTAGTCCGGGGAGGAGGGATTATGACCAAGGAAGATGCAGGGGAGGGTACGGGAGGCGAGCTTTTCCATGGTGCGGGGGCGGTCCGCAGGGTGAATGAGGACATACGCCCTGGAGCCCCACACACGGAGGGAGGAGACGTCAGGCTTGGCCGACGTCCAGAGCTCGGTGGGAGTGGTGGAGGGAAGGATAGGGTGGGGGTACAGGTTAGTAAGGAGGGTGGCGTGAAGGTGGGCATAGCCCCACAGAGAAGGGGGGCAAGAGGCATGGACGAGGAGACACCGAGCAATCTTGGTGATCTCTCGAACACGGCTCTCGGCCACACCATTCTGCTGGGGGGAGTGGGGGAGGGTGTGAGTCTGGCGAATGCCATGAAACTCACAGTAGGAGGCTACCTGACGATTAAGGAATTCGCCACCGCCATCAGAGTGAAGGCGGCGCACAGGGCGGCCAAAGTGGGTGCTCGCCTGCTTGAGCCAAGCGATGATCGCAGCCGGAGCGTCACCCTTCGAGCGAAGAAGGGAGACGGACGAACATCGGCTGTGATCATCGACCAGAACAAGCATGTAGCGATGGCCCTGGCGGGAAGGGGAGGGGTTGGGGCCCCAGAGGTCCGTGTGAACAAGACCAAGCGGCTGAGCAACAGCGGAGGGGGAACTCCGATGCGGCAGCTGCTTGAGCTTGCTCTGGACACAGACGGAGCAGGGAGGGGCAAGGGGGGGAGGGAGGGGAGGGAGGGTGAGGGGAAGACCTCGAAGGAGACCTGAGGAGACGGTCGAGCGGAGGGTGGCAAAGTTGGGGTGACCAAGCCTGTGGTGGAGGAGGACGGTGGGATGGGAGAGGGATCGACAGGAGCAGGTTGGGTCAGGGGGGAGGGGGGGGAATGGTTGGGTTAGAAGGAGGGAGAGGAGGGGGAGGGATGTGAGGTGGGGGGAGGGAGCGGGAGACTGCCTGGGCAGAGGGAAGACGAGGAACTCGAAGGGTATATAGGCGGGAGCGAGGACAAAAGGGAATACAGGAGAGGAGGCGACCTGTGGGATGGTATAGGAGGCAGTGATTAGCGCGACCTGGGAAGACGGTGGTGATACCGGCCTGCTGCAGGGATCGCTGGGAGAGGAGGTTAGTACAGAGGGAGGCGATGTGTAAACCAGTAACGGTACCTGAGGGGAAGAGGGGACAGGGGAGGGTAGAGGTGTGGCGACAGGGAATAGAGAAGCTGGAATCGGCACCAAGGAGGGAGGTGGGGGCTGGGAGAAGGTGAAGGGTACCAGCATCACAAAGGACGGACTCGGTGGCTCCACTGTCAAGGACAAAGTCCAGCGTGGTGGAGGGGGGAGGATGTGGGGGAGGAGATGGGACGGAGTACTGAATCACATTCTCATTAATAGCAGCCGAATACATGGAAGGGGCGGGGGTTCCAGCCTGACTAACCATGCCAACAAAACCAGAGGAGGGGAAAGGAGTCACACTGCCTGTGGCTGAGAGCGCGGGAGACGCGCCCGAGAGGTGAGCTGCGGAAGCGGCGGTGCCGGCGGTCCAAACGGGGTAGGGCTGCTGGGGGGGAGCCATAGGAGGAGGTGCAAGGGGGAGATGCGACTGGAGGTCAAGCTGCTGCTGGAGCTGCTGAAGCTGCTGTTGCAACTGGGAGAAGAGGTGCTGCTGCCCCTGCTGCTGCTGCTGCTGCTGGAACTGCTGCTGCTGCTGCTGAAACGGCTGCGGCAGGATCTGCTGCGGAGTCTGCTGCTGCTGCTGTTGCTGAGAGACGGCCTGGTGGGCCAAGGGGGAGGAGACGGGCTGGAAAAGAGGGGAGGTACGAACCTCTTGAGGAGTGGGACGAGGGGAGAGGGAGGACCAGCGGGGGGGGGGGTGCCGGTGTTGCCGCGGGCAAACCACTCATCACTGAGCGCTTTGAAGCAAGAATCAGTGGCATGAGTGGTCTGGCCGCAGAGCTGACCCCGCGTGGGGCCATAGCGAGGGAGATACTGACAAGGAGGAAAGGCGGCTGCTGCACCACGTCCTGAGCCATTGCCACCACGACCCGCACCACCACCACGACCGGCGCCACACCCACCCCCACGCCCTCCCCTGGTGTTGCGCTGCTGAGCAATAGCGGCAGTTGAGGAGGAATAGCGCAAGAGGTCGGCCTCGGTGGTGATAATCCACTGGGCGACTTCAGCCGGGGTGATGCGCTTGTCGATCAGCTGCATGTAGGCGATCTTATGGGTGTCGAAGTCAGGAGTCAAGCCTTCAAGGAGGTGGCAGCAGAGCACTGGGTCCGGGTACGGCACGCCAAGAGCCGCCAAGCGCCGAGCGAGGTCGAGGACGCGACGCGTGAAGGCAGCTGCGCCGGTGGTAGAGTTCATGGTGAGGCTCTGGAACTCCTTGATGAGGGAGTAGAGGGTGGCGACGTCTTGCCGATCATAGAGATCGGTGAGGAGGCGCCAGAGGTGGGAGGAGGAGGTGGAAGCAAGCTCGCGCTTGAGGGTGGGAGGAATGGTGGCGAGGAGGACGGTGAGCGCGCGCCGGTCAGCGACACGCCAGGCACCTACCGTGCCTGACGTACTCCGCGAGCTCCGCCTGATACGTGTTGTAGGCGCCAGTGGCGGCGTTATGCTCGGCGCGGGAAGCCTCGAAGAGCAGCTGCTCGCGGACGTGGTCGGTGAGGCCGGCACGGTAGGTGCGGATGGCGGTCTCGGAGCTCTGAGGGTCGTTGACGTCAGGGGCGAAGGTTGGAGGATCGCCGGGGCTAAAGGGAGCATCGCCAGGAGGAGGACGTGCAGGGCCCGCGGGAGCATCCGGCTGGGCAGGCTGAAGACCGCGCTCCTCGAGATGGACAACGGCTTTCAGGTTGTAGCCGTTCACCGGCACCGAGGAGAGAAGCACCGTGGCGGTTTGGGCATAGGAATGCCAATTGACCGCGGTGTTGTCGGGCAGCAGCTCAAGAGCGTCGACGGAGGTAAGGTACACCGAGGAATCGGACGCCATTGAGAGGAGGAGGGGAAGGAAGGGGGGGGGAGGAGGAAAAGGAAAAGGAGGAGGAAAAGGAAAGGAGGAGGAAAAGGAAAGGAGGAGGAAAAGGAAAGGAGGAGGAAAAGGAAAGGAGGAGGAGAAGGGGGAGGGAGGAGAAGGATAGGTGCGCGGAGCGCAGCTCTTAAGTCGCCGAAGGAGGATGCGGCGACCGGCTGCACGCCGAAATGGCGCGACGAACAGGAGCACGCGACGGCAGAATCGACGACGAGCGGGCGCACGCGGCGGAGAAATCGACCGGCGGCCGTGCGCTTGCGGCGGCACAAAGGCGATGGGCGCGGAGAGTACGGGCGCGACGGGACGATTTGTCGACGGCCGTGCGCGGGAGCCGTGCCGGACGGGCGCGCGGAAAGCGCGACGGAGAGGGGCGCGACGACGGGCCGCGCGACGGAGGAGCGCACCAACGGGCGCAGTAGGAGGATGCGACGGGCTGAAGCGCATCGTAAGGAGCGACGGGAGGTGCACGACGGAAGGGTGAGCGGGCGCGGCAAAAGGCGCGCGACGGGAGGAAGAGCGGGCGCGATGGAATAGCGCGGCGGGAGAGAGGGCGCACGGGGGGCGCGGGCAGTAGCCTAAGGAAGGGCTAGGCTTCGAAGACGAGGAGGGACGGCATAGAGCTGTGCTAGTTAGGATCGACTAGAGGTGGCGTGAGCCATTGTGGCTCTGAATACCATGAAGGAACTAGCTTGGAAGAGAAAAGATTGAATTGAGTAAGGAGCCAAGAGGCTCTTTTGTACAAAACAAGGAGCAAGGAAGAGTTGGAAAGGAAGCTCTCCTATTGGCCATAAAGTGGACCAATGGGAGAGGTTGCTTGTAGGGCAAGCAACCACAAAGTGTTGTGCTCTCTGATTGGCCACAATGTGGACCAATGAGAGAGATTGCTTGGAAGGCAAGCAACCACAAAGTGTGGTGCTTGGTGATTGGTTGGTTCCTAGGCCCAAGGACCATTTGGTTGAAATAGTGCCAACCAAATGTCTAGGACCAAATCCAATCTTGACCAACCCAAATGTGGGGTTGGTCAACCCAACCAACAACCTCCCAATAATTATAATGACTACACCTCCTAATTTAGGCATGCATGTTGTATAGATATATATTTTACAACAGCTACCTATCCAAATTGCTACTGTAGTTTACTTTGACTGAAATTTAGCCCTGGCGATGCGATATCTTATCGCATCGCGCAATATATCGCACGCTACAGTGCGATATTTGAAAATATCGCACCCAAAACGCGATATGCGATTTCGGTTTTTTCAAAAAAATATCGCAGCGATGCGATATCGCATCGCCGCAATATAATGCGCGATAAGTCGAAATGCGATGCGATGCGATGCGATATCGCATTTTGACCAGATCCGCGCATTCCGTCCATCGAAACGCGAGACAAGCGCATTTTGGCGGGGAGATGCCGCGCATTTTAGTGGGCCAAATGTCATATCTGTGCATTTCGTCCACCAAAACGCGGGATCCAACACATTTTGGCAGGAAAAATGCCAGATCCGCGCATATCAGCTGGCGAAATGCCATATCGGCGCATTTCGCCAGTATTTTTAACTATTTTTTTGAAAGATTCGGCCGATTTTTTTTACCAACAAAAATTAGATATCTACAACCAGTTTATACCGAATAAGACGGCCGAAAAATACAGTACCGTAGCAAACGGCCTAAAGATGAAAAAAACGCCGTTTTTTAAAACCCTGCTACTACTGGGCTCCTAAAAACGGGCTAGGGTTTCTGAAACCGTGACTCTCAAATGAGTCGCGTTTTCAGGTTGGCTTCCAAGTAAAATGCAAAATGCGATTGCAATTTAAATTGCATCGCAAAGGGGGGCGATTGAATGAAATGCAATGCGATTTAAAATCTCATCGCGCGATTTAATTTCTGGAAAAAAAAAAAATCGCACATTGCGTTCTGTGCGCGCTGAATATTAAAACCGCATGCGGTATTTAATTAGATCGCGCGATTCAATTTCAAATCGCATCGCGTTTAGACATGGGCAGATTAAATCGCATCGCATCGCATTGCGTTTAATCGCATTTTTGCGACGGCGATTAAATAAATAAAATAAAAAATCGCGCGATGCGATGATTTAATTATCGCGCGATTTAATTTAAATTGCGCTTTAATCGAGCTGAAAATCGCGATTGAATTGCAATTTGCGATTTTTTTTAAATCGCACGCGATCTGTTTGTGGCCGAAATTCCATTGGTGTTGTTTTTTTCCGGAATTCTGAGGTGTTTTATAATTGAGGTAAAATGCGATGCGATTGTAAATCGCATCGCGCGATTTAAATAAACATCGCATTCGGTTTAAAGCGAGGATCTCAAGAAGCGCGAAACCAAGTCCAAAAGGTTTGGTTTCGGGTTGGCGAAATGAGCGAAGAAGTAACTGTGGCCCTCCAACACCCCTCACAATACCTCGCAAATTTCGCGACCCCCCGAAACCAAAACCTTTGGGTTTGGTTTTTTCCTTCTTGAGATCCTCGCTTTGAATAACCATCGCGCAGAAAATGCGATGTGTGATTTTTTTTTTTCTTTCAACAAATTAAATCGCGTGATGCGATATTAAATCGCATCGTTTTTTTTTTTTTTTTTTTTTTTTAACAGTTAAAGTCATCACCATCACCCCATTCGACATGTCCTTGCCTGTTTGCACCGAAGAGCGGACAATGCCATGCAGCTGGAAGGGCTGCACAGTGGTGGATGCCACGAACTCCTCTGGTTTCACATTTAAATTAGCCAGGAACACCCGAATGGTCCCAGGATCCCCAGGCTCATAATCCACCCATGCTGTGTATGCACTGCCGTCGTTCAGTGTGAATGGTGACACCTCAGCAACCAAGGACTGATCCATGCCATTGACGTTCAGCCCCACGTGTTGTGAGTTTATATCACCGTGATTATCATTCCAACGTGTGTCAAATTCAATGGCGACACTCCGGGTCTCCACCCCACCATACCCTACACCATCAGGGTTCCCCACCTTGGCCTTTGCCGAGATCACAAATGCAAAGCCATTTGACCCAAAGGTACCAGACTGCGGAATAAGGGAGAAGGTGAAGCTGACACTGAAAGCCAACTCCACACCACATCCAAGGCTCGGACCAGCTGGGTTAGCAAACAGGATCACCGGGTTTGCGATGAATTTTCCCTGTGACTCCTTTTGCGTCCCCTTGGTGAGCACAGTGAATGGGGGGACAATAGGCTTGCTTCGGTTCCAGCCTGAAAAATGTGATGGATGGCAAGGCAACAGAGCAGGAGGAATACAACTTAAATTACTCGGTCAGCTCGTTAAGCAGGCAATTTAAAAATGAAGTGAACACATGTGTGTAAACAGGTAAAGATTGAAAAGAAATGTGACGCAAATGTTGGAAAGAAAATTATGGAGCAAGCAAAGTATGCATGATTTATTAGATCACGGAAAGGAATATGTGATGAGTATGCAGGTGCCACCCGTGCGCATGTAGTTACTCTGAAATGTGGTTAAGATGGGAAAACATGACAGGGCTGAAACAGTACAACCATTTGTGGAGCCGAGCTGGTGTGCCTTATGGCAAAAAATTGGAGGAAATAAAGTAGAGAAAAATGCACTAAATAGCATACAAAGCGTGTGAGAAAAAATGCGTGTTCTCACAGGGCAAATAACCGCTCCATAAATGCTAAATAGTCCATTACCTTCCTCAGCACAGTCGATTCCTACAAACTCCACGAATCCCGGTTTGCACAAGCATGTTGGCACCAAGCTGGGCCCGTCTGGATAGCAGATGCCACGACCACCACAAGCAGCAGTGGTGTGGGCGATGCCACAAAAAGCTTTGCACTCTGCTGCCGGCCGTTGTACCTTCGAGTGACAACCTTTCTTCAATTTAAAGCAATTGGCAGCAAGATTGTGTCGACGGCAGTTTGGTTTACGCAGAACACCAGACAAGTAGTTGTTAGAAAGGTCCACATTGAATGCTGAGAGTTTCACAAGGGGGCCCATGAGGTAGTTTTGCGAGAGATCACTGCAATGGAAGGGAGAAGGAAATGGGTGTGCAGGGTGGGGTGGCATAGCCAACAACATAGACAGATTCACAGAGTTGATGTCAAAGGGGTATTAGGAATATCTGGATAAAGGTGAATGTTGTTCCGTAACTGACCAAAGTAGAGACTGAGCAGGTGGCGGAGGAGGAAAAGGAGGAGGAAGAGGAGGTCGGAGGAGGAGGATTAGGAGGAGGCGGAGGAGGAGGAGGATGAGGAGGAGGAGGAGGAGGAGGAGGAGGAGGAGGAGGAGGAGGAGGAGGAGGAGGAGGAGGAGGAGGAGGAGGAGGAGGAGGTGGAAGAGGAGGAGGAGGAGGAGGAGGAGGAGGAGGAGGAGGAGGAGGAGGAGGAGGAGGAGGAGGAGGAGGAGGAGGAGGAGGAGGAGGAGGAGGAGGAGGCAGAGGAGGTGGGGCCAATTAAAGCTTATTGCTTATTTTAAACTGCCTTCATCTCTGGACCTACCTACACTGGTTGTATGAACACAAAATGGAGCCGCACGATGCTGTTATGTAATGCCTGCTAAAGCTCTTTGCTTCAAGTGCAGGAGTGAGAGAGTGTGGAAGACAGAGTGAATGAATGTGTGGAAGAGTGGAAAAAAACGTGAGGAAATTGAAGAATGAGCTAGAATGAAACTGTAAATGTGTGAACACTCAAGAGAATCAAGAGCATGAGTGTTTCTTGCAGATGAAGCTGTGTCGTACCACTTGGCTATCATCCTCAACTAGGCTTGAGCAACGGGTCGGGTCGGGTCGGGTAACCCGACCCGAACCCGACTTTTTGACGGGTCGGGTCAGGTTTCCCGTCGGATGAACCCGACCCGTCGGGTTTGATTTTAACCCGTCGGGTCGGGTCAACCCGAACCCGACATGGACGGGTTCGGGTGAACCCGACATGTCGGGTTGACCCGACCCGACTTCGGGTATCCATCGTCGGGTTGACCCGACCCAACCCGACCCGACTTCGGGTATCCATCGTCGGGTTGACCCGACCCAACCCGACCCGAAGTTGGGCCGCGCCTCGACCCGACGCAATCTGCGCGACCTGAGTTGCGCAGATCTGGAAAGTCTGACAGTTTGGTCGAATTTTCGATCAGATGGGCCATTTTCCAGATCCTACTTAGGCTGTTTCCCATTTTTACCCTGCATCCAGCTCATTCCTACCACTAATCTACTCCCCACCATGCTTATCGGTATAGCTTAGGAACTAAACAGACCCAGATCGATTTCTATTGGATTGACTCAACCAACAAGCTCGTCGACACCACCACCAACCCAACCAGCTTTTCGCCAACACCCCCAAACCAACAAATTTTCGCCAACACGCCCAACCCAACCAACTTTTCGCCAACACGCCCAACCAAACCAATTTTTCGCCAACACTTCCAAACCAACCAATTTTCGCCAACACCCCCAACCCAAACAATTTTCGCCAACACGCCCAACCCACCCGAATTTTCGCCAACACCCGCAACCAAACCAAAAGCTCGCCAACACCCCCAAGCCAACCAATCTTTCGCCACACCCCCAAACCAACCAAAAAGTCGCCAACACCCATTCACTCTGTCACTGGTTTTCGTCAACATCCTCCAACCTAACCAATACTTCGCCAACACCCAAAACCACATGTCGAGGTTGCGGGGGGATGAGGTGAGTGGGCACGAGGAGGACTCACTGGATCTTGAAATCACGAAATCCAGCTGTTCCCCCCTGGGAAAAAAATAGCTTCTAGTTAGGTCGGGTCAAGTCGGGTCGGGTCGGGTCGCATCAACCCGACCCGACCGCGGGTAGGAGATGACCCGACCAGCTATGGTCGGGTCGGGTCGGCAAAATCCTAAGATCGACCCGACCTGACCCGACCCGACCCGACCCGAACCCGACCTCGGGTTAGGCAGAGTCGGGTCGGGTCGGGTCGGGTCGGGTTAATGCTCAAGCCTATCCTCAACTGGGTGAGTCTATTGGGCAAGCTTCCAGACAGCTGGTTGTAGGCGAGAGACCTGATATTCGTGAAGGGAAGGGATGGAAAGGGGTCGGCGGGATGAAGAGAATCGTGCGAGCTGGGTTTGAATTGAAGAACAGGGGTAATTGTGGAGGTAGGCTGTGGAATTATGTAGCGAGCTGGGTAAATATGTCGTGGAGTGCAGCCGGTGTGCTTGGGAGCATGACTTGCTGGGTGTTGTGCAGCTCGAGAGAAAGATCAAGCAATCGTTACACTTGGAAAAGTGTGTCGACTCACAGGTAGGTCAAAGCATGTAGATTGCCGATTGTATTAGGAATCGTTCCGCTAAGACGATTACCACGGAGGTTCCTGCAGAGCAGACGCATGAGGACACGTGGAGTTCAGTCTTAGAACGTTTTTCCACGAAAGAGAAAAGCACGTGTGCGGCATTAAAAGGGAAAACTGCAGGTTTTGAAGTGTTACAAATGTGACAACAAGTTACTTGGCGGCCCCATGTGAGAGCTGCATGGGCACCACAGAAGGGTGCAGGCATGGTGACGTACGGTATGGGTGTCGGGATATGCCTCTGTGGACGACTGCAAGTCGTTCAGTGCAAGAGAGTGCACCACCAAAAAGCGGCTACAACTCACAGCTCGTTTAGCTTGGTACAATTGCCTACTGACCAAGAAATTGGTCCTGTGAACTCATTCATGCTTAGATCCCTGCACAGGTACTTGCAGCAAGCGGAGGGCCACACACCCAATTGATACCATGTGCAGTGCAGCAGATGGAGGGTAAAGAGGAACACATGCAATGCAAGTACAATTTAGGAGCAGCATACGTGAAGGGAAAATGTAGACGAAGGATGGGATGGCCAAGTGGTGAGGAGGGTGGGGGTTAGCTAGGGTTGGGCAAAAGCGGGTAATTACCCACCCGTACCCGACTTCGGGTCGGGTAGTAGTCGAGTAGCTGGCCCAGAACCACTACCCGACCTAGGCTTGATCAAAATACCCGACCGGGTCGGGTACCCGTTACCCGGATCCACTTTTAGGGCGGGTCGGGTAGCGGGATTCCTGTTAATTACCCGGCGGGTCGAGTCCCGGTTACCCGGGCGGGTATTTAGTACCCGATACCCGAAATGCTACCCGACGACGCGGGTAACGGGTACCCGCCGGGTCGAGTATTGAATACCCGAGTTCGGGTATAAACCTGAAGTCGGGTCGGGTATATCCGACCCGAAATCGGGTCGCGCTGCTACCCGTCGGCAGTAGTTCGATCAAAATTGGGGAGGGTTGGAAATTTCGACCATTTGGTCGAACTTTCTTCCCCAACTCCCCAGATCTGGTTTCGTCTAGTCCCTATCCTACTCGCGCCACCTAACAGCACCACCCGCTTTAGTCACAAAATTTCCCGTACCTAAATGTGTTTTTTTCCATCATTAGGGCGGATTTAAGGTACGGAGGGGTTGTTTGCCCTAGGGTTCTAGGGTTTCGGAGATCTAGGGCTCCAAGAGCTAATCGCCCCCTCGGATTCCCCATTCTAGCGCATAATTTAGGGTTGGGAGGTGTCCCGTCATGCAGTTCTATGACCGTGACGGGCGTCCCGTCCCTTTCGGGGGCGGTAGGGTTGAGGGTGGCAGGCTCCAGAGCGGTGCCATGCCTGGAGCATCTCTGGCTGGCCTCCCTCTCCCTAGCGGCCGCCAGACTTTTGCAGCGATGCAGGAGGGGGGGGGGTTGGGGCAAGCCATGGGGGGGGAACGGTGGGGGGGTGGTGGAGGGGGGGGAGGAGGCGAGGGTGACCAGGAGTGGCATCCCAATGCGGAGGAAGAGAATGAGGTGTCGGGAGATGGGCGCGCCAAGGGGAGGGGGAGGGGGAGGGCGAGGGGGAGGGGCAGGGGAAGGGGGAGGGGGAGGGGAAGAGGCCACGGCCGTGGTGGACGTGGTCGGGGGAGGGCAAGGACGATTGGTGGCGGCGGTGGCACTAGTGGTGCGGGGGAGGTGGAGGGCGGTGGGGATGCAGCGCACTTTAGGGATGCTGAGGGCGAGGGGGAGGGGGGTCATGCGGAGTGTGGTACGCCTGCACCGGGGCGGCCTGTCATCCCAAGTGGGGAGGGAGGGGGCACGGGTGGACAGCATAAGCGGTCGCGAGCGGGCAACAGCTCTCAGGTGACAGTCGGGTACTGGGGTACTGCTGTCCCTGGGCTGATGCAGGGGATGTTCTTTCAGCCTGAGGGGGGGGACGGGGCGTGATGCTGCAAGGTATGCGAGGTGCCGATCGGTTGGGGTGAGAGCAGCACTGGTTCGGCGTGGAAGCATATGCGCACGTTCCACATGCCTCACCTCCAGATCTGGTATCGCCTCTTCACTGATGGCAACACGAAGCCGGGGTTGGTGTTTCCGGTGAAGGGGTACCCGGGGGTGCCAGGCGGACCAGACCCGTGGGAGCACGCTGACGCCTACCCCGACATCCCTGGTGCGGGCAAGGGCGGTTCGGGTGGGGGTGTCGAGGCGGGCCAGCGGCAGATCCCTCAGCTCTTCGGCCGTCGCGTCACACAGGAGCGTCTGCGCCACGCTCTTGTCGAGCTGTTCGCAGACGCGGACCTTCCTTTCCACCCGGTCGACCGCCCTCGGTAAGAACTGATAGAGAGAAGCTTCTAATGCCCCCCCCCCCCCCCCCCCCCCCCATCCCCTTCCCTCCATTCCCCAGTTTCGCCGCTACACCCGCCTCCTCAATCGACCCCCCCCCATGCCATGCCATGCCATGCCATGCCGGACAACAATCCTCTATCGCTTCCATGGACTTCCCCCCTTCAGGTGCCTGGCGCACATCCTGAACCTCGCGGTCCAGAAGATGCTAGGTGTCCCCGCCGTCCTCGAGCCGCTCAAGCGTATGCGGGAGATTGCGTCGTTCATTGGGTGGAGCACGACGCGCTCGGACGCGTTCGAGGACGAGCAGCTGCGGCTAGCGAGTCAGGGCGGGCATGTTCTCCACCTCATCAGCGACACCCCCATGCGATGGGGGTCGTCCTATGAGATGGTGGACAGCTTCTTGAAGCTCAAGGATCCCATCCTATTGTACTTCTCGGGACTCAAGGTATGGTTCCCGAGTTCCTGGTTTGCCACCATCCCGGCTCGCATTTTTTTCCTCACCGAAATGCTGACTGTCTCCCAAAGCCGCCCATGCGTCTTACACTCCCCACATCTGAGATTTCCCCTCCGCTACTTCTTGTTCCCCAATCCCCCATCCCACAATCGGCGCGCGACAAGCGGACGTGCGATCAGGCTGCGCGTGTCCGCCTCACGGACGCACACTAGGACGCTCTGAGGGTTATGGTGGAATTCCTCAAGCCCTTCCATGACATCACTACTGCGGCAGAGGGGTCGTTGTACCCCACTGCCGCAGTACAACCTGCTCATGGATGAGCTTGAGCATCTCTACCACGACCCTCGGACCGGGGAGCTCTGCAAGCTGATGGCGGAGGCGGCTCTGAAGGTGGTGAAGAAGTACGTGTACGGCATCAGCGAGGAGCTGGCAGTGGCCACATTCTTGGACCCCAGGTTCAAGCAGCTCTACTTCCAGCTCGAGCGGTGGGAGGGGGCCCACCCTGAGCTAGCGGGAGAGGCCGCTTGGGGGCGTAGGGCGGTGCACAACGTCACTGAGGAGCAGGTGGTGACATGGGTTAGGGCGCGCTTGCAGTCTTATCTACACAATCAGAGCAGGCGTGCGGTGGACGGGGGTCAGGAGGGGACGAGCACAAGGGGAGCGTGGGCCGGGGGGAGGGGAGTGGCCAGGGCCTGAGGTGGGGGGCGCCTGTTTGACATGCTCGGCTCGGCGATGGCAGAGGTGGAGGCGAGAGCGGGAGTGGCCGCGCCGGACAAGGTTCATAGGTACCTGCAGGAGGCGCGTTTGGAAATGGACGAGTGTCCGCTTCAATGGTGGCGCACGCGCTCGTCGTACCCGGGGTTGCATGCGATGGCACGAGACTACCTTGCCATCCCTGCAACCTCAGCACCAAGCGAACGGGCGTTCAGCCAGGGGCGGAACGTGGTCACTTGGCAGCGTCACCACCTAAGCATTGCTCACGTGCGTGCAACCATGACTCTCAAGTCATGGATGGCACAGCGCGCCGACGGCAGCCTCCCGCTGGCGACGCTGGATCGGGCCATGGGGGGGCTGTGCCTTGAGGGTGACGGCGAGGGGTTGTGAGGAGTGGGTACAGGTTAGCCCCATTGGACAGCTCTTCCTATTATATACATTCCAGTGCTTGTGCCATGCTCGGACCCAGCATTCAGTTGTAGGGCCATGCAGACATGGTTTCATGCTTGTTAAATGATTGTGACCAGCCGTAGAATGAACTGCGTGCCCTAAACGTATAGTAGGCATGAGCAAAACCGGGTATTTACCCGACCCGACCCGGTTTTGCTATACCTGACTTCGGGTCAGGTATTTTCAGGTCAGGTACGGGTCGGGTAACATGCCCAGGACCAATACCCGGACCCGTGATTTGGCGGCGGGTAATTTTATACCCGCCTGGCGGGTCCGGGTATACCCGACCCGATTCCCTTGATAAGCGGGTAGTATTACCCTCGTTTTCCTACCGTGCTGGGCTAAACCTACGACCTGAAAACGTGAGTCGCTGGAGGCAGTAAGAGGTGCGCCATATCTTTTACAGTTCAAGTGAGTAGGGCATGAGTGGCGAGGTGGTTGGGTTTTCTAGTTGGGATGGGGTTGTGTGCGATTGTTGGGGGTTTGATATTTTGACCCCCAGAGTCAATTGGTTGGAACTCCAACCAATGTGGTGCTGTGCGGTTGGCTGGATTCAGGTTGGGTTGTAAAATCGATGGGGAAAATTCGATTGGTTCCGTAACGTAACGTAAGAAAATTCTCTACCAGCGCGACCAATGTTGCGCTGGTTCCGTCGGGTAGACATGCTACCCGATTTCGGGTCGGGTACCCGTTACCCGACGTGTCGGGTAAAGTTTTGGGTAACCCAAAACGTGCTCGGGATACATACGCTTGGCGATGTGGGCGTACGGCTGCACGATCAACCATTGAGGAAACCCATTCTACTGCTCTGGTTCTTCTTCATTAATGACTGTTGGTTCCGGAGTTTCTGAACGAGGACGAAGACGTGGAGGTAGGTTGGCTACTACTTCTCCCATGTCACTGTCGCTTTCTTCATTGTCTCGTCGGCTCCAGTAGCGTATACCAGTAGACCAGTGTGGTCCAATCATGCAATTAATAATTGCCTTTCCTTTTGCAGGTTGAGTTGAAGAAGCTGAAGGCGGCGAGATATTCTTGACAGGGACGGCTTCACCCAACTTCTCCCGATTCCTGCTCTTCGGTTTCTGACACTCTTCAATAAAATAACCTGCTCGTTTGCAGAACTTGCAGAAGCCCTTTTCTCTTTTTCTTGTCTGCTCCCATTGATTTGATGCATCTCTTGTTTGCTCCCCTTGACTTTGTCCACCTGTATAGAAGCTTAACCCACTCTTGGCTTTGCCTCCTTTTACGTTGTACAGGTCCAAGTCCTGCTGCTCTGCCATCAGAGTAGCGCAAAGATAAGTTTATGAGATGTTCCCTTGGGAACGAAAAAGGGACTTTCATTGCCTCCAGTCGAGTCCAAGTACAACTAGAAGGATGGTGACGAAGAGATCATTGCTGAGATTTCCTCCACACTTGCCAAGCTGCTCCTGAAGATTTCTGCACCTGTTGATGTAGCTACTGGCTTTTTTCTCCCAGAAGCATTTGTGCTGTAAGTTGACTTTACAGCTTGCTCTGTGAAACGGAATCTTGTGCTTGATACAACCTTCGCATATAATCCCAGGCGTACAAGGCTGAAGCGAGTGAAGTTTTGAAGCACCGAACTCCCAACTGCTCTTCAGGTGGGAGATTCCGCACCAGTTTTGGGTAGGCCATAAGCGAATACTTGTAGTAACGTGCCTGTTCTTCGGTCGTTCCTGTCTTGGATAACGGATTGAACCTTCGAAATATCCGCAGATACCCAAAGATTGCGTGAGGAGCTCAAACTCTAATCCCCAAGGATAGAAGTCGCGGCCATTAAAGTAAGTTGAGGATTTCAGCTTGGAGATTGTTAGAAAATCCGCTTGATTTACGACAGCTTCTGCAGCAAATGATATTTCTCCTGCCATGTGATGTTGTTGCTGTTGTGGTTTTTGTTGTTGCTGGTGGTTGAGCAGGTCGCCCATTGAAGGCAAAAGACCCAGCAGATTCATCACCAGGGGTTGAAGACCCATCGGCAACAGCAGCTCTTGCATAACTAGAGTTATAAAGGCTCATAGAAGTTGTAGGATGCGCTGGAGCTTGTTGTTGTTGCTGAGTAGATTGATTAGCTATCAAGGAAGCAAAGTCAGATAGATCGGCAGTAGAAAGACTAGAAGTAGGAGAATTTGTAGCTGAATTTCTTGTCTGTGCAGCTGACATAATTATAGATCTATGACTTAAGCTTAAGGGCGTAATCGAAATCAGCTTGTATCGGTTCGGCGACAGTGGCGGCTGTAAGGGTAATGACGGCAGCAGCAGCAGTGCTGGCTGTTAGCGCTGCTGGCTGCTGGCTGCTGGCGCTGCTGGCTGCTGGCTGCTGGCAGTGCACTGTTGGCGGCTGGCGGCTGGTGCTGGCTGCTAGCTCCTGGCTGCTGGCACTGGTGGTGCAAGGGAGCCAGCGAACTGGCTGCTGGCTGCTGGCGTTGGCTGCTGGCGCTGCTGGCTGCTGGCACTGCTCACGCTGCTGGCTGTTGGCTGCTGGTGCTGGTGGTGTTGGTGAGCCAACAAGCTGGCTGCTGGCGCTGGCTGTTGGCTGTTGGCACTGGCTGCTGGCGCTGCTGCTAGCTGCTGGCACTACTGGCGCTGCTGGCGCTGGTGAGCTGGCGCTGGCAAGCGGGTGAGCTCGCTAGTGCTGGCGAGCTGGCGTAAGCGAGTTGGCGTTGGCGAGCTGGCGAGCTGGCTCACTGCGAGCTAGTTGGCGGCTGGCTGGCGGATGCGAGCTGGCGAGCCAGAGTTGGCTGGCGAGCGCTGGCAATTGCTAGCAGTTTCTGGCTGAAGGGCACTGGCGGCGAGCTGGCTAGCTGCTGCTGGCTGTGGCTGCAGTGGCAGTGGCTGGCGTAGCGGCGAGCTGGCCAGTGACGAGCTGGCTGGCGCTGCTGGAGAGTAGCTGGCAGGAGTTGCTGGCGGCGAGCTAGCTAGCACGGCTGGCGGCGAGCTGGCTAACGCGGCTCGTGAGCTAGCTGGCTGACGTGTTGGCCAGCTGGCTGGCGCGGTGGCTGGCATGTTGGTGAGCGTGCTGGCTGGCGTGCCGGCCTGCTGGCTGCTGGCTCACCCTGGCTTGACTCTGTTACACAAGCCATGCGCCGGGGATTTAGACACGAGCAAAGCACACGCTTGAGCAGGCATCACAGGGGCAGGAAAGCCAGGCGAATTGATGGGCCGGGCTAGGCCACGAAGGGCCGGCGGCTAAGGCCCATCCCTTGGCCCGTGGCTCATGTTATGGGATGGGACAGGGCTGGTGTCGGATTATACTTCCCTATGAAATTTAACCATAGGCTATATGTCATAGGTATTCATATGCATCCCACCACTAGGGTGTACACACCCTAGTTGGGGATTCCAGATTGGTTGGGCTCCCTATTATTGCGGCCCCGCTAAACCCAACCAGGCATATTGGACACCCAATAAGCTGGCCAACCCAACTTACCGGTGGGGATGAATAATCTTGGCCAAACCCAGGCTAGCTCCCCGCATCCCTTCAACTATGTAAGCTCCACTTCTCTAATGGTTTCACAGCCTAAGGCTCGCACCCCTCCCCCATTCCATCCCTAGCTAAACGTGCTCCCACACACTACCCTCGTGCGCTTCGTGCCCTCAGCGCCCTCAAGCGCCCTCCTCTCCCACGTATTCCTTGCCACCTCTTGCATGACTCCTCCAGCGCCTTCGTTCCCTCATCACCGCTCACGCCCTTCCTCCGTTCCGTCTGTTAGATTATATACATCTATTGTAATATGCTCGACTAGTATATTAGCTAGGTGTACACCAACATGTGGTGTACACATCAAAGTGCACGGGGTGTTAATCCAACCTGGAGTGGTTGGAGCAGGGCTCTCGGTTCAAGGGTAAACATCCGGAATGTCAGGTACATTCCGGGTCTTTCTAGCTGAGATCCTGATTTTAAGGGTTTCGTACTCACAAACCTCCTGACTGATTCCGGGCGTTTCCAAATAACACCCTGAGCAATCCGGATTGCGCGAAAATTTATCCTGGCCATCCGTCTGGCATGGAAATCTACCCGTGCTGGAATTGCAACCCAAACCTCTCCCACCAAACCCCCCCCTCCCCCCCCCCCCCCCCCAAATTCCTTCGCAACCCTGACCAACTTTCCACGCTATCTGACGGTGCGTCCCGTGGAACTTTCACAACTACATAAGTGCAGGGCTATCAGACTAATCACAACCCCTTAATATCACCTTAGCCAGGTTGCGTACTGTCCCTCTAAGTTGTACGCATTTCTGTCGCGATTGACAAGGAAAGTATCGAACTTGGTGTGGTGGTGAGGGACAGCAGCAGAAGCAAGTGTGAGTTCTGTATTCTTCTCCATCGTTTCTTCCATCAATGTCCTTCCTGATTGTACTCGAAGTGCCCACAGGCTCCGCTGATGTGTAGGGAGTCCTGAAAACACTCTGAATTTCAGATTGAAAGGTAAAAGTAATCCTGAAATAAAGAGAGATTTTCCAAGGAATGCTGAATTTTCAGGGTCTTTAGTGGCGCGAATCCTGAGACCGCTGGGTCTTGAAAAACGAAAAAATAGCCCTGGGTTGGAGCCCCCGATCACCAAGACCACAATATTGGAACCACGCAACGCAAGTGGCTCCCGTGGTTGGGTACTGTTCCTACCCAACTGCATGTGGCACTATTCATCCTTCTCTTGCTAGCTTCCCTTCCTTCCCAACTTTCTTATGTATGCTCTTGATTCCATTACTGAAATAACTTCTTGAGCCTTTTCATGGTTTCAGAGCTCTAAGGCGCACGCCACATCCCATTTTTTTTCTCGATCCAAGCCCACCCCTCCCTCAGCTGTAGTCACGACCCCTAGCGAGGAATTCCTGCTTCCATTGCTCCTGTCTCCTTCCTAGCCGGCAATCTCGCCGTTCCCTCCTCCTCAACCATTCCCTACGCCACCGCTAGTTTCACCCTAGCCACCGCATCCACCCCTCCTCGCCGTTCTCCTAGTGCGCTCTAGCCTCCAGCTCGGCCCTTCATCACTAGTGCCGTAGCCGTAGCTGCCAGCGCTGTCCCTTCCCCCCCCAGCTCGCCGCTCCCCGCCTGCCGTGTCAGCTTGCCACCGCCTGCGCGCCGTCCTGCAGCTCTTCGTTGACGCTCGCCGCCGGCCGCCAGCTCGCCATTCGCCGCACGCCGCTCGTCGCAAGCTGCTCGCCGCTCGCCACCGACCGCTCGCCGCTCGTCGCCAGTCGCTCGCCGCTCGCTGCAAGCTGCACGCCGCTCGCCACCAGCCCGCTCGCCGCTCGTCGCCAGCCGCTTGCCGCTCACCGCTCGCCGCTCATCGCAAGCCGCTCGCGGCCCGACACTTGCCGCTTGCTTCTCGTCGCGCCGCTTGTCGCCAGCCACTCGCCGCCAGCCACTCGCACGCTGCTCACTGCTTGCTGCCAGCCACCAGCTCGCCACTTGCCGCTCGTTGCCAGCCACCCTCTCCTCGCTGGCCGCCAGCTCACTGCTCACCGCTCGCCGCAAGCTGCCAGCTCGCCGCTCACCGCTGCTCCATCCAGCAGCCATCACTGCCTCCCCTCTCCCTTTCAGCCGCCGCCGCTGATCCTCCTCCCGCCACCAGCTGCCGCTGCCACCCCCCCCTCTCCCTCCCATTCCCCCCATCACCACTGCCCTTCCCTCCAGCAGCCACCATTGCTTCCTCTCCTGTCATCAGCAGCAGCCACCGCCACCGCTGTCACCTGCTGCCGCCGTGCCTTTCCAACCGGCCGCCGCTGCCACTGCTCCTCTCCGTAGCAGCCGTCACCGCTGGCAGTCTCACTTGTAACCGCCGCCGCCACTGTGCCACCGGTCGCCGCCGCCGCTGCCGCTCCGTTGCCAGCTGCCGCAGCTGCCCTTCTTTTGGGCAGCCATCGCCGCTGTTCCACGGAGCCACCACCACTCTTTTGAGCTGTGTGGGACCACCCGTCGTCGCTCCCTCCTCGTGCCGCCACGAGCCCACTTTCGTGAGCCGCGCATAGACATTGGCACAAGCTGAGCAACACCTGGCTTGGCTCGGCTCGCCTCGCCTTATTTTTTGGTACCCGGCTTGACTCGAGCCGGCGGCTCGGCTCGGCCCGCGCATGTGCAATCAGGCGAGCCAGAGTCGAGCTGGCTCGATTTCGAGCCAGCCGGCTCGCGGCTAGGGAAAGGGGGGTTTCGCGACTGTCAAATTTCAGATCGAGAAACCCCCCCCCCCCTCTCCCCCCTCTCCCCCCTCCACCCCACCCACCCCTCCCCCCCCCCAATATTGTCTGCCAACCCTAACCTCACCCTGTCGCGCTAGTCAATCGACCTCAGCGCACCGGTCGAAAAGCGCACCGGTCGAAAAGGACACCGTCGAGAGAGAGAGAGAGAGAGAGAGAGAGAGAGAGAGAGAGAGAGAGAGAGAGAGAGAGAGAGAGAGAGAGGGAGAGAGAGAGAGAGAGAGAGAGAGAGAGAGAGAGAGAGAGGGAGGGAGGGAGGTAGGGAGGGAGGGAGGGAGGGAGGGAGGGAGGGAGGGGAGGGAGGGAGGGAGGGAGGGAGGGAGGGAGGGAGGGAGGGAGGGAGGGAGGGAGGGAGCGAGGGAGGGAGGGAGGGAGGGAGGGGAGGGAGAGAGAGAGAGAGAGAGAGAGAGAGAGAGAGAGAGAGAGAGAGAGAGAGAGAGAGAGAGAGAGAGAGAGAAAGAAAGAGGGAGGGGTAGAGAGAGAGTGGTAGAGAGTGAGAGCAAGAGACGTAGAGAAAAGGGGAGTGAGAGAGGCAGCAAGTGGCGGGCGGCCAGCGGCCAGCGGAGGTGGCGAGCAGCAGTGGTGAGCGGCAGGCGGTTAGAGGCATGCAAGCGGCAGCAGCAGGCGGCGGGCAGCAGGCGGCCAGCAGGCGGCCAACGACAGCGGCGAGCGGCAGTCAGGCAGCAGTGGCAGGCAGCCAGCGGCAGGCAGCAGCGGCGAGCAGAAGGGGCGAGCAGCAGGCAGTACGCGGGCTCGCGCGCAGCGCAGCGGGCAGCGCGAGGCGCGAGCAGGCAGGCGTCGAGCGGCGGCGAGCAGCTGCGGGCGGCCAGCGGACAGCGGGCAGCGGGCAGCTTGAGTGCGAGCTAGTGCTAGGGAGCAGGCTAGGGCGGGAGACTAGGGTGCAGGCTAGGGCGGTAGACTAGGGTGTTGGCTAGGGCAATAGGCTAGGACGAGAGAGGAGCGGGGAGAACCTAGGGCGGAAGCGCGGAGGCTAGGACCTAACCTAGCGATGATAACAAATCATGATGAGAGAATGCATTGACTCAAGCAAGGCCAACACAGAATTTTTATCTAGGTGTTGTACTCCCTAAAATCTGCACCTAGGTAGGCTATAGTCCACATATACCTAATATATATATGTGAACGCTAACACGTGGTGCTGGGATTTGCGAATGGTATGGGGCATGGTGCTGGGATTCGCACATTTTATGAGGCATGGTGCTGGGGATTGGGCATGGTGCTGGGACTTAGGGATGGTATGGGGCATGCTGGTGTAATATGAGATACATTGGGCATGTGGATGATTTGGGATATATGGAAATTTGGGTTTCGGAGGATTGCACATGGGGTGTGTGGGTAGCAATGATGTGAATGGCAGTGGCTGTTGTGGCGTGTATTGACAAGGCGTTCTCTTGCACCGCATGTCAGAGTAGCATATATGCTTTTAGGTGCTTGGTCGAGTTTTAACTGCATGAATCATGTGCCAGTGGCTCACACATGTGTACAGTGATTCAAGATGGGCGCCATGTACTTCTTATTGCACCCATGTCAATTTTCAAAATCTTCACTTGCATCTAGTTTCTTGCTTTGGTGCTGCTCTCCCCTCGGAGATTCAGACCCCCCGTCTCTCCAATGCCCTTGCAGAGCTTCACCAAAGTGGCTAGCTTGGAGTGTCAAGGCATGGAAGGGACTGTCAAATCTAACTTAGGTGGTTACTGTAGACTATACTGGATTGTGCCTTAGAGGGTACAACACCCTAGTCTATATACCCCTGTATCCTTCTATTCTAGTTATTACTCATTCTAATATGGTATCATAGTAGGTTAGGCCCCCCCCACTAGCCCGCCCACGCTTCCGCCCTAGGCCCTAGCCACCGTCGCGCCCGTCCCTAGCTGCCGACTCGCCCGTTCCTAGCAGCCGTCGCGGCCGTTCCTAGCCGCTGTCACGGCCGTTCCTAGCCGTCGCGGCTGTCCCTAGCCGTTGCGGCCGTCCCTAGCCGTTGCGGCCGTCCCTAGCCGCCGTCTCGCGGCCGTTCCTAGCTGTCGCGACCGTTCCTAGCCGCCGTCACGGTCGTTCCTAGCCGTCGTGACTGTTCCTAGCCGCCGTCGCGGTCGTTCCTAGCCGTCGCGACCGTTCCTAGCCGCCGTCGCTATGAGAGTACGACCCCGTTCCATTCTCTTCTCCTTTCCATATTCCCTTTCCATTTCATTCCTCTTTTTATCTCATTCCATTTGGATTCCTATTTCTCCTTTTCCATTATCCTTTGGTTTATCCTGTTATTTTCATTATATCACCGACCAGGCTCTGGATGTACTGGTGCGCTATATCTAGCGTAATCCTGCCGCAATCCGTTAAAGCCAATAGCCTCGCGTGGCTATACGCAGGGTGATTCTATTTTCTAGAAGGGTCTATTCCCTTAGGATAAGATGAACCTGGTAACCTGATGTACTTTGGAAGTATAAAAGCGCCTTGTACTAATCGATAGTGGAACCTTTCCTCGACACATTCAATCCTGTCACACTTGGTAATCAGAGCTTTTCTCACTCGGCCGCGCTCAACAAAGCAGCAGCAGCGGGAAAACCTGCCTCGAAAAACCGCCGGGGGCGACCAATTCGACACCGATTCTGGTAAGCACCAGCTCCGCGTTTTGTGAATTACCCCCCCCCCCCCCCCCCCCCCCCCCCGCGCGTGTTTTGAACAGGATGGCAACCTTCGACAACACTGAGGTTACCCAGCAGCTCTTCGCGAGCATCGCAGCCCTTCAGGAGGAGATGCGAGCGGATCGCGAAGCGTGGCGAAACGAGTTCGAGCGAGTAACTCGACTCGCCGGAGCGCAACACGAAACGACAACGATGACGACGCAGCAGTCGCAGCAGTTTCTCGAGGCTTCGAAACCGCGCCCACCTGAGCCGTTCGATCCGAGCGAGCGAAACTCCGACGTCCGCAGATGGATCGCCAGCATGGAGATCTACTTCGCAGCCGTCGGATGGAGCTCGCCAGTCTGGGACGGTCAACGCGTACGACTCATGGCGACACTGATGCGAGGGCCGGCACTCGAGTGGATCGGCGGTAACAGCACGTTCATCCACGGCGAAGCCACGTGGCAGTAGTTCCGCATCGACCTGCTGAAACGTTTCGAGCCGATAAATTCGGGTTTCCTTGCCCGGGAAAAAAATCATCGCCATCGACTGTTCGGGAGTGTAGCGCAGTACACACAGCAGATGGAGGAATTTTATAACCGAATTCCCGACCTGACCGAAGGGGAAAAAGTACAGTCTTACCTCGCCGGGCTGAAGACCGAAGTCAAACGACAAGTAGCAGCGACAAACTACGCGAGCTACAGTGACGTCGTATCGGCCGCGGAACGTTTCGACATGGTAAACGCCGGGACACGACGGACGCACGTCGGCAGTACGTGACAGGGCGACCGCTCGGCTCACCCCACGTTTGCCGACCCGATGGAAGTCGACAGGTTCGAAGGGCGGCCACGTCCGAAAAACGCCAACTTCACATGTGATTTTTGCAGGGTGCCGGGTCATCAAATCTTCGACTGCAACAAAATGAAAGCCGCACGCGCTGAGTATCGGGCACGCAACAGTGGAGGAAATCCATCGGCCAATCAGAAGACAAAAAAACGGAGCTCGCCTGTGATTGCGGATCTAGCTGGCGAAAAAGAAAAGATCCGAAAGCGGTCGCGGACTTCCGGAAAAATCAACTTCGACGCAGGTGATTCGACGCGAACAGGAGAAAATGATGGGGAAAAATCTCCACCCCACGACCAGTCTTCGCTAGAGGAATTCGCCGAGAAGAAATCCAACTCCGCGAAAAAAGACTCTGCCGAGACGGGGAAACTCCTTGAAGACCCAAGAAATTATAAGGATTCGTGAAATTTATCTTATAAAGATGCTTTAATGAAAACTTGTAATTCTCGAGGGGCTAGAGCCTTGGAGAAAATTCGGGAGGGACTCTAGAAGAAGCATAAATTTTTGGAGATCATACTGGTACCGAAGAACTTGGGGACCAAATTAAGGAGTGTGGAAAGAAGCCGACCTTTCCACGGAGTCAACGTCCTCTCCCGACACCAGCCCACAGCGATTACCCGTTCCCCAGGGAAGACGTCGGTGGAGCTGAAGCAGCTCAAAAGGAAGCTGGGGGTGTAAAAGAAGCTGCAAAAACCCCGAACTCCTTCTTCGGATGCATCCAACTCGGCAACTTCGTCAACGACACGCACAGTCGTCACGGAAACTCTGGGCCCTGGAGAAGAGCCTTTCTCCAAGCAGCCTCGGCCAGCTGCCAGCTCAAGAGTAGGAAGCAACGAATATTGGGACGTACCCTATGACCCAATCAATGAAACTATTTTTTGGTACTCCGAGCAACGACTGCCCCTCGTGCTCGAGGTCATCTGCAAAGGACGACGCCTCCAAGCACTCGTGGACAGCGGAGCATCGCACACTGCATGCGACAAGGCAACCATCGACCGACTTCGAGAAGAGTACAAGCCATCGGCGTTTTCTGCAACGATGGTGGACGGCAAAAAGTTACCAGTATACGGCGAAGCAGTGCTGCAGCTACAAATCGGGCCACTGCGCTGGAAACCTGCACTCCCCATCACCAACATCAAAGGGCTTGATCTGATCTTCGGGCGAGACTTCCTAAAACGATTCAACCCCGAGATCAACTGGGTGAACCGCATTGCAAGCATCTACAACAAAAGAAGGAGAGTCCAGCTACCCAACTGGTACCATACAGGAGATATCCCAGTGGAGACACTCGCCAGATTGGAGAAGGACGTCAAGCGAACCAACATCAGATTCCTGGCAATAGCAACAGAGGTGGAAACCGACGGAGAGAAGACCTCGGAACCTCCAGAAAAAATCAAGGAATTACTGAAGGAGTTCCACGACATTCTCCCCGACGACCTCCCGGACGAGCTACCGCCATACCGAACGCACAAACACGAGATCGTGGAGGAACCAGGTTCAAAGCCGACCTTCCGAGCACCATATCGGCTCAGCCCCACCGAGCTAGCCGACATGAAGAAGCGGATCGAGTCTCTCCTCGCGAAAGGACTCATCTGACCATCAAATTCACCGTACGGTGGCCGTTCGCCGTTCGCTACGCCGCTCACCAGCTTAACCTGTGGCCGCACCCCCAGCAGCCGCAGGTTTCGCCGACAATTCTTTGGTCCGGGTCACCTGGTGACGCGTCTGCGTTTCACGTCTGGGGCTGCCTTGCTCACGTTCGTGCCTCTGGCAAAGACAAGCTCACTGCCCGCACCCTTCCCTGTGTCTTTCTCGGTTTCCCCCTTGACGCGTCTAACTGGCACTTCTACCACCCGCCGTCTCACCGGTTCTTTCACTCCCGCGACGTCACCTTTGACGAGTCCGTCTCCTTCTACCACCGCTTCCCCCACCGAGGTCCCCCCGTTCCCCCCCCCCTGTTCCTCGTCACCCCTTCCCCGGTAGTCCCTGCCCCTCCCCCTCCCCCTCCCCATCCTGCCCCCTCTGGTGTGTCCCACGTCACCCCACATACTTCGGTTGTCCTGGTTGAGGAGTCTGCTGACTCTGGTGGTCCTGCGGCGCAGTCCTTGACGCCTGCCCCTCCTCAGGTGGCTCCTCCTCTGCCGCCCTTGCAGCAGCCGTCGCCACCGCTGTCACAGCCGTCGTTGCCGCCGCCGCCTCCGCCGCAGCCGTCGTTGCAGCCGCAGCCGTCGCAGCAGCAGTTCGTTGACTCTGGGGGTGCTGGAGTTGGGGTGGGTACTAGTCCTGGGACTTATGTCGTGGCTTGTCCCGGCGGGCCTGGGGGTGGTACCGGTGCTCGAGAGGTCCTGGGCTCTGGGGGTGTTCCTTCTAGGGGTGCTGGAGTGGAGTGTTCTGGAGGTCGCCGTCAGGCAGCTTGCGGTCCCGGTGTCGGTGTCGTTCCGCCGCAGCAGCAGTCCCCGCCGGTGTCAGCTCTTCGCCTGCTCGGCCTTCCGTCCCCTGACCCCATGCCCGTGCCTCCTCCTCCTCCTGTCTACGGCACTGTGTTCCTTCCTCCGGACTCGTCTACGGCTCGTTTCCCCCTACGTTCCCCTCTTGTGTCCCCTCTTCTGTCTCCTGACCTGACGCCTCCGTCTCACGTCTGGTCTCGCCGTCCCTCCCGTGCTCGACATGTCTCCTCTGTCTCGCGCTCTTACCCTATGCTGCTTTGTTTCCACGCGTCTCGTCCTCCCCTTCTCCCGTCGCCTCCTCCGTCCTCCCTTGTCGTTGCGCCCCCCCCCTCTGTCTGACTACCTGCGTGCCGCACGTTCTCTTGTTCCTCGGGTCCTTGCCTCTCTCGTTACCGACACGTCTGTTCCGGTTTCGTGTCTTGACGCTCTTGTCACTGCGGTCGCTAACTTCGCCTCTACCCACCGCCTTGACTACACCACCGCTCTGGTCTCTGCCCCTGCCTGTCCTCCGTCTGTCGGGGGTGCTCCTTCCCTCGGCAGTGACGTCCTGGAGGACCGCCAGTACGAGCTTGCTTTCCTGTCCGAGGCTGCTCCCCATCTCTGTTACATGCTTCTAGTCACATAGGGTGACCCCGACGCTCTCGACATCCCAACCCCTCGCACTTACGCTGAGGCGGTCTCGGGACCCTGGGCCTCTCAGTGGATAGCTGCCATGGAGCAGGAGATGGCATCTTGGAGATCCACCGGCACCTACGTCGACGCAGTTCCCCCACCTGGGGTGAACGTAGTCGATGGCTGCTGGCTCTTCAAGGTGAAGCGCCCTCTTGGAGAGCCGCTTGTGTTCAAGGCGCGCTACGTGGCTAGAGGTTTCAGTCAGCGTGAGAGGGTGGACTTCTTTCAGACGTTCACTCCGACCCCGAAGATGACTATTCTTCGGGTGCTGCTACACGTAGCAGCTCAGCGTGACTACGAGCTTCACTCCCTCGACTTCTCTACCGCGTTTCTTCAGGGCAATCTACACGAGCAGGTCTACCTGCACCGCCCTCAGGGTTTCACTGGTGCCTTCCCTCCTGGGACCCAGTGGCTCCTGCGGCGCCCCATCTACGGCCTGCGACACGCTCCTCGTGAGTGGCACGACACGCTGCGTGCTACCCTTGCTGACCTGCAAGTCTTTCAGTCCTCTGCATACCCCTCGCTCTTCGTTCGTGCTAGGCAGACTCCGTTCTACATCCTTGTTTACGTAGACGATCTGGTCTTCGCCACTGCAGACAGGGACGCACTGGCCTCGGTGAAGGCAGAGCTGCTCAAGAGACACACTTGCACTGACCTTGGAGAATTGCGCCATTACCTTGGCTTGCAGATCTCCAGGGACAGAGCAACGCACACCATCACCCTCACTCAGTCACACTTGGTGCGCCAGGTCCTTCAGAGGTTCGGTCTTCAGTTCTCCTCTGCACAGCCCACCCCTCTATCTATAGACCACAGGCTCTTATCTCCAGTTCCTGAGGAGTCGGTAGAGCCCAGTGGCCCTTACGCCGAGCTGGTGGGTTGCCTCATGTACCTGATGACCTGCACTCGCCCAGATCTCGCATACCCTTTCAGTATCCTGGCTCGCGTTGTGGCCACTGGCAGACACCGACCTCATCACTGGTCTGGCGCTAAGAGGTTTTTGCGTTATCTTGCAAGTACATTGGGCATGGGGTTAGTGCTTGGAGGGCGCAGGCCAGTGGTCCTTACTGGGCACACAGACGCTTCGTGGGCAGACGACGCTGAGACTCTTAGGTCCTCCCAGGGCTACTGCTTTAGCCTTGGTTCAGGTGCTGTCTCGTGGAGAGCCACTCGCTCCTTGTCTGTTGCCCAGTCCAGCGATGAGGCCGAGATCTACGACGGTGCCATGGCGGCACAGGAGCTCCGCTGGCTGACCTTTTTGCTCACTGACTTAGGTGAGCGGCCTAGCTCTGCCCCGGTTCTGTACGCTGACAACAGGGCCATGATCCTCCTGTGTCAGGAGCCGCGACTCGAGGCCAGAGCGAAGCACATTCAGCTGCGGTACTTCCTCGTGCGTGAGCTGCAACAGCGTCGCCAGGCTCGCGTAGTACACTTGGCCTCCGGTGCCAACACAGCTGATATCTTTACGAAGGCGCTTGCGCCTAAAGATCATCAGCGGCACTGTGTACAGCTAGGTCTTGTTCTTGTAGCTTCTCACTTGCTAGGGCCTTGATTGTGTACAGACCTTTCTATATATATTACCCTGACTGCTTCTTCTCCTATTAGGCTCTGCCCCTATATAGTCTAGGGGTTGTGTCAAATATAACTTAGGTGGTTAGTGTGGACTATACTGGATTGTGCCTTAGAGGGTACAACACCCTAGTCTATATACCCCTGTATCCTTCTATTCTAGTTATTACTCATTCTTATAGGGACAAGGACGACCACTTGTGTAGCTCGCACCACAGCTGTTGTGGATCGCCATCCACCGTTCCTCCACTTGCTCGGTTGCAGCCAGGCCATCACTCCTTATTGACAATCAAGGTACCTGCAACCGTATGCCCGGCTTCCACCAAAGAAACAAAACTCCAAGGCCCTCCTACTGCAGTTTTTTTGTACCGTGCTCATACCGTCGGCCCCTCCCTGCTGCTTTCAATCCTTTGCACCAGTCCAAGGACAGTTTCCTGTTTACCAAGAAACAAGATATCCCCAAAATAAATGCTCACTAGGGTTCCGTAAAGCTAAATTGCGCAAGGTTATTGACATTCTACAGATCACACGCAGGTGGAAGAGCTAGTCCCCCCACCCATCTGCTCCACATGAGCCATTTGAACATTGAAGTCGGAATCACCTGAGCTGTCAATATCCATGTCAATGCGGCATGCAGCTGTGTCTGCCTCACCCCCAAGGATCTCCTCCCTCAGCACCAGCAGATCTCCCAGCACTCGACCCATGGTGGGGCGGGAGGCAGTGGGCATGGCAGTGCAGGTGAGGGCAAGGCGAGCCATGCGCAGCACCAAGACATCCGGTGCATCCTAGTTAGGGTCCTTGAATGCCGCCACGGCGCTGGACGCCACCAATGGAGCCACCTGCAAAATATGAATGACACCAATGCCTTTGAGACATCACGAATTATTTTAGCATTCTAAGGTGTTTGACTTTATGGATAACGAATAGAGTGCAAATGGGAGATGAACGTGGGGCAACATCCATAGACTTACTGCTGTTAAAAGCATGTCGATAGGCAATGTAATCGTTGCAGCGATTGGTCAGTTTGTACCACACTGAATTGGAGAAGGTATGCAATGTCGTTGAAACTTTTTGCTCACCCACTGCTTGAGGTTGATGTGGCTTTCTTCTGTTAAACATATGGCCTTGCGTGCAGTGATGAACACTAGCATCACCACTCCAAAGGTACAAATGCCAAGTAAACATTTTCTCCAATAAAGGAAATAGAAAAATGAATGAAATCCATTGATCTCTATACATTTTTTTAAAATTCTTACCAACGTCATAAGCCATAGTGAACACCCGGGTCCAAACAGTACTAGCCTTCAGGTTTGAGTGGAAGCTGTCTTTCAGAAGGAAAAAATGAAGCATGACCCCAATAGGCTCAAATATGGAGGTTTTCTTTTTTTTAGCTCTTGCTCTTGTTTCTTGATATAGCCTTTGCTCATGTGTTACAAAAGTGGTGTCTGCCATCGCAGTCTTCTCACCTATGCATATCTGCTGCTGGGGTGGCCTTGTGTATCTTGTAGTAGGCAGGGTCCACATAGCCCGGTGTTCCCATCACTCGAGTGGCCGCAACAGAGGTGCCCATGGAGGTGCCTCCACTCAGCTTCACCAACCCAAAGTCCGCGATCTTGGCTTGACCGAGACAAGAAGTACACTTTGAAGTTGAGACAACAAATGATTGGGTGAGATAACACACAAAATGAACGAATATGCTTCATGATACGCAAAAGAGTGGTCCTAATACAGCCTTTTAAGGACACTGGAGTTGAATCATGCCTGCATTTTTGCATCAAGGAGGATGTTGGCTGGCTTGATGTCGCGATGCACAATGCCAAAGTCATGAAGTTACTGCAGCCCCTTTGCCACTCCAATCAGAATGTCCAGCCGTTGCAGCAGGGAGAGAGCGTTAGGCACACTGGGCCCAGTCCAGCTCTCGAGGTCATTGTTCTCCATATACTCATAAATCAAGATCTGCTCCATATATCTTGTGACTGTTGACATCGATACAATAGCCAAGTAGTCGTACAAGATGAGGGTGGTGCTTGCTGGCCATCTCCTTCACCTGAGGTTTCGGGTTGAAGCGAGAGGAAGAAAATGAAGCGAGCATGCATATTACAAAAGACCCATACCAAATGTGAGTGGTGAAAAAATATCTGCAGCATAGTACCTCTCTTGGAAAGCCATTTGTGAGTGCTTTGGCCCATTTGACTGCCCACATTTGAGTGTGATCAAGAGGAGAGGTTCCCTTGAAGACATCCCCAAAGCTACCGCTGCCAATCCTGTTCTCCTCTGTCCAATCCGCCGTTGCCTTTGCCAGCTCTTCCAGGGAGTACTCCTGGCACACATGTGGCCGCTCTGCCTCCATCTCCACCACCACCACATCATTTTGGTTCCCTGATTCTGCTGCTGCTGCTGCCATGGCTCCTGCTGTTGTTTCAGGATCCCCCCCATGTACTTCTGCATGTTTATGGGAAACGGTGGGGAAGTGTTGACTTCATGAAGATATTATTCTTCTCAAAAACGTTAGGAGGTTTGGAAATTTGTAGATTTTGAAGAGTAAGGCCTGCTCTCTCTTGTGCTGACCAGGGAGGTTTTAGATAATTTCACATCTACATGGCTGACAGCAAAGGAGGGGGCTGATTGCAAACAGGGAAGCACTACTTTGGAAGTCCGAAACTTAATGGGGAGAGGAGAATGTCTTCCCAAAACTCTGTTTCGGCTGTCCTAAACTCAGTGGGAAACTCGGCTAAAGAGTAACTTCTTCCCAACCAAATAAGGGGTTTGTGTCCTATGGAGGAGGGGGGAAGAGAGAAATCCGGTTATCCACGCAATCAACATGCGCATGGCAGGGGCACCATCTGACAACCCTGTGCTCCAACTAGATCCAAAAATGCCTGCAAACCCGTCGAGTGGAAAGCATTGTGTATGAGATCCATCTTAGCTCCACTCGATCCCTTCATTACATCAATCAACGGTGCACCTACAACACTCACCATTGCAAATGAGCACAGCGCCAGCAACAGAGGTGCGCGCCAGGATGGCCCCCAAGGCCTGCTCCTCTTCCCTCCCTGCTATACCTATCCTTCTGTACCTACATGCCAATCAGGTACAGATTTCGTTTGGCTAAGGCCCTCACAGATTGCTGCCGTCCATGTAGCACTTTCTTCCTGTCTTCCTGCAGTCCATAGCCTTTCGTTGCCTGAATTGTAGCCTCCTTCCTATGAATACACAAAACACCTGAGAGGGCAAGGGATTTGCGGCTTCCACGTGCATGGAGGGGATTGTGACTTGTCTGGAGCCTAGTAGCACGTCCACGTGCTCAAAGCCACTTGATACCGCAGTCAATATGGCCCCACTCTTCACTCGCTGAAAATGTTCCTCTGGTCTTATAAAGGCGTTCAACTCTGAGTGTACAGGCTGAGGAAGTGGGAGTACGTTTCTCCGTTCATCGCTTGCAACACCGAAACGTGGCGGATTGCCTGGAATCACGTTGGTGCGAAGTTCATCACAAAAATGTGCGCGAAAAACATTGAATCATGCCCAACCACTGCCTCCGGAGCCTGGCTTGGCTCGCCTCGCCTTGAGCCGGGTCCTCAGGATCCGTGCCTTGGCTCGTGAAAATGGGGTCGAGCCGGGGCCGGCTCGCTGGCGAGCCAGCTCGGCTCGGCTCGTTAGGGGGGCTTGTGTAACCTCTCAAGAAGGCCCACTGTTTTTGGGGTCTCTAGTCCTATGGATCTGCCAGATTGTGTTTGTGAACAACTCCTGCTCTGTTTGGGGCGCCACTGCAAGTCTAGGTGGGCATAAACAGGTATCCCCTATATTTAGCCACGACTACGTCTACCTCGGGTATGCGGAGTCATGCACTCATTAACCGAATCCAAGGTTAACTTACAATAATTTAATGTAGTAGCATGGAAGTTAAAAGAGTGCCCTTTGCCAACAGCATGTTCTCAGCGCAACCAGACGCAAGCAAGCTCCGATCGGCATAAGACGTCACAAGCTAGCAACCATCGGACCTCATGGTTTAGCATGCAGCCTACAGCTCCTCCAACCCGAGCTTCTCCGTCTCTTTGATCCACCTTGGCTTTAACAGGGAGACACCAGGGTGCGTGCGAGTCCATGACTTGAGTGTCATAGTGGCTCGCACACTCTCCCCCATCAACCTCTGCCTATGGCGGGTGATCACATTTCGGCTCTGACTGAACACACGCTTGCTAGCTGCCGATGTTGCTGGTATGGCCAGGTAATCCCCGGCCATAGCCTGCAACACCGGCATATCTGACCTCTCGCGCCAGTACGCCAGGGGGCAACCCTCATGCAACTCCCCCTCAATGTAATGATCCACCTCATCCTGCACCGTGCCCCCCCGTTGTGCGGAGCGCGCTAGCAGCTTGGCGTGGAGAGACTGGCTCAAGCCACCCCGCACTGGTACACCACTAGCATCTCCACCCTCAATCTCCCCCCTGCCAAGCCCAACCCCCCTCTGCCCCCGCCCTGTTGCTGTGCCGCCTGCTGCAGCCGCTTAATGTACTTAGCAAAGTGAGCCTCTACAAGGGTCAGCACCTCTGACGGCTTGAAGCTCGCCACAAGCCTGCCCTGCTGCTCCTCCTCCACCTCCTCCCCCTCTTCGTCCTCCTCATCCTCCTCATCCTCCACCTCCTCCTCCTCCTCCTCCTCCTCCTCCTCCTCCTCCTCCTCCTCCTCCTCCTCCTCCTCCTCCTCCTCCTCCTCCTCCTCCTCCTATTCCTCCTCCTCCTCCTCCTTCTCCTCCTCCTCCTCCTCCTCCTCCTCCTCCTCCTCCTCCTCCTCCTCCTCCTCCTCCTCCTCCTCCTCCTCCTCCTCCTCTGTGCCCTTCTCTGAACCCATCTCCTCCTGCCCCCCCCCCCCCGCGTTAGCGGCACACACTACTAGCGTGCGCGAAGACCCACCCAGTCCGCTTTGCATGCCCACCCCGTTTGCCCCCTTCCCCTCTCCCCCAGAGCGGGTGTCCGTCCCTCCATCCACCTCGAAAAACACCAGCCTCATGCCGGGGTTCAGAAACGTCGCCACCATGAGCTCATCGCTACCGCTGCAATAGTACCGTTCCAGCATGGGGAAGGCGATGCCAATGAGCTGACGGCCGATGAGGCGGGGTGATGGCCATACCTGCAACATATCCATAAGTTCGTTGAATTATGGCACAACAGCAGATGATGTGGGGTAGGAAGAGCCCTCGGCCGCCACCATGATGGAACTGAACGGTGCCAGGAACTCCGCCAAGACATCCAGCGGATCCCAGTATGCACGCAATGGGTGGGGTGTAGGGAGACAATGGGTGTGGCGGCTTGGAAGGATCATCCGCACACGCAATGGAAGCAGTGGAGTGGGCTTTTGTAAAGAGGGTACCTGCTCCACTGGGAAGTGCGCACTGAGGGATCGGCGGAGCCTCAATGCACGCGCGACCATCTCGTGCGTGCTGCCCCTGCAAACCTCGCTGTCCTACACCAGGCAGAGGACCGTCCCTTTGAGGACAGGATTGGACCGCTGCTGCGCTTCAAATTCGCGCGTGCGCCTCTCACTCCATCCCACAAAGGTGGCAATGTCACGTAGGAGCTTCAGTGCCACCCTCACTGCTGGCAGCTTCAGCGCATGCTGGACTGCAAGGTTCAGGATGTGCGCCAGGCAGCTGCATGTACAAAGGCGCACATGGGGGGGGAGAGGGGGGAGGGAAATACTTAAGGACCCTCCATGCCATGGAGAGGGGAGGTGTGGATCGTCTGAACAGCAGCACACTATGTGGACAAGCACGCCACGCAATCACCGGAAATACATGCCACCTGCGAGGACAGGCGTGGCCTACGCATGACGACCAAGACCGGCGAGGCGACGCATGGCAGCTGTGTTGCTGCTGGCGTTCAGTTGTCACCCCCATGCAAAACCCCACGAGCTCCCACTCCCTGACGACTCGCGCGAATACGTCTGCAATCAGCTGCCTTGTGTGGCGCGCTTCCAACTCCATTAGCTCTAGTGTACACTGGCGCAGCTGAAAGTCCCTGCTAATGAAGTGTGCCGTCACTGTCATGTACCCCCGCCTGTTACTCCCGGTCCATATGTCCGTTGTGAAAGTGACACGCCTGCTCCCTAAACCCGCCCCAAACTCCGAATTAAGCCCGTCCCATGCTGCCTCAGAGTAAAAGCGGATGTCCCTGGAAAATGGTGGTCCGGTCGGGTATGGGGATTGCGTCACCGCATTGGGGGTTGCACACAGCCAAGAGGCGGCGGAATTGCCAAAAGGAAGCGAGAGGGGGGGCGTGGGGTTTGGGGGTGTTTAGCGCCATGTGGGGGGGGGAGGAGGTGGTGGTGGGGCGGGTGGTTCTTTGGTGGGGCAGATCCAGTAGGTTATAAGGGGGGGGGGGGGGGGGGGGGAGAGGGGGGTAACACAACAACCACAGGCTTAGGGAAGGGTGGGGGGGGCCTGGTGGGGTTGCTCTCTTATCGCGAGGTCCTCTACGATGCGAAAGGAGTTGTCGGTGCTGGCGATGAACTCGACGATCGCCTGATGCAAACGCGACTCCAACACACGTGGGCCAAGGAAATGGTCCATCGTGGGCCGCTTCGCGTCCACCGCTTCCGGGGACAGGTTCGGGATGGTGGCGCCGGGGACAGGGGGGGGGGGGGGGGGGGGGGTGCGGCCAAGTCTTGGACCACTCGTTGGGCGCCTTCTCATCAGGGACATGTGGGTATCCCCCTACTGGAAATGACTCTCCTGGCTCCAGACCCTCGACCACGCGCCACTACCATATGTCCCAGTGTGGGTGATGGTGTCTCGCTATATGCTTAGCACCCGTGCTGGTCTGGCTGTCCTTGAAGCCCATCAACTTCTCGCACATCTTGCACACTTGCTTCCTCTCGCTCCCAAAGAAACACTCTGCCACATGCTTGTTGCTCCTCTTTGCCCCAACCTTGCGGTTCTTTTTCTGTCTCTTCCATCTCCCCTCCTGCTCAACGCCTGGGTCCACCTCCTCAGCCCCATCCGCACGCCCTCCCCTGCCCTGAAACCCGACGGCAGGTGCAGCGCGCTCCTCCCCGCCCCTCCCTCCCCCCCTTGCGCCTGTCCCTGGGGAGGGCCTGGAGGATGATGAGCCTCCCCTCCCCTTGGGCCCTCCCCCCCCCCCCCTGCCCCTCATCCCATCCCCTGCCGAGAGAGGAGGAAATTCGTCCACTCCTCAGGCATGTGGGCATGGCTCCACCTCCATCGGTCGCATTCGCCTGCGAACTCACACCCCCCTGGTCCCCCACTGTCTCACCTGTGCCCCCTACACGATCCCTTCCCTGCCCCCCTTGCCTAGCTGCTGTTGCCTTGGTCTTTGCCATGCGCAAGATCGCGCCCCCGCGCTTAACTTATGTAATCGCGCGCCCTAGTCTAGCGTTACCGAGCGCCCTACAACCTTCAGCATTGTGGACTAGGCCTAAACGGATGCACGCCCAAGCCTAAACCCTAGCATGCGCATACCACGAGCCAAGGCCTCGGTGGCACGCCTAGGGCTGTCGCGCCAAGGCCTCGATGGCCCTAATTATAATAGCACTTACATCTTTAAAAAATAACACAAGGTGCTGCAAGTTTAAATGGTACTAGCTGAGGGCAAAAGAATAGGGCGATAGACTAGGGCGACATGGTTAGGTTAGGGTTGGTTGACGAAATGGGCTTGGGAGGAGTTTATCGATTTGAAATTGACTGTCGCAAAACCCCCCCTTACCCAACCGCAAGCCAGTTGGCTCGAAATCGAGCCATCTTGAGCCGGCTCGACTCCGGCTCGCCTGGTTTCGCGTGCGCGAGCCGAGCCGAGCCGGCTCGGCTCAACTCGAGCCAGGCACAAAAAAAAAAAGGCTCGGCCCGCCTTAAAGGCGAGCCCAGCCAAGCCGAGCCAGGTGTGGCTCGGCTTGTGCCCATGTCTAGGTTGGGTACATGCACGGTCGAAAGGGCCGGAGGCAGCACGAGCCAGCCTCGAGGTCGCGTCGGAAACGGACCGAGCCTGGTCTTCCAAGAGTTCGGGTGTACGCGATTGCAAAACAATCTGGTAAGGAATAATATTCCTTACACTACCCCCTCTTAAGGAAGGTGGTCAATATCGGGGTCGCCTTTTTGGGCCAAATAAGATTTGAGCACTGAGTGTTTGATCCACGTGTCGTCTTTGCTTGTACGGTCGACCCAGCTGACCAGAAAATCCACGTGGCGGCCTGTGGTGTCGAGGCGGACGCGGTGACTCAAAAACCGGAACGGCTCAAGGGTCGGTTCGGCCATCGGGCGGACACTTGGGATGGCCATCGGGCGTGCGACTTATGACATGCTGGCGATGTAGGGACGAAGGAGGCTGACGTGGAAGGCGTCGTGAATGCGCCACTCGTCCGGAAGTAATAATTTCGCCGTGACAGATATCACCGACTTGAGGATGCGGAAAGGCCGACAGAATCTTGGGCGGAGTTTTGATGGCAGGGGCAGGCGGAGGTTCTTCGTGTCGAGAAGGACTAGTTGCCCAGCGGCCATCGTAATATCGCGGCAATGAATGTCGGTGTAGCGTCAAGCTGAAGTGTTGGACTTTCTAATAAATTCGATCGCCTTTTCCGGGGCGGTCTGGAGGTCGTTAACAAACTGCTGGGACCGGGGCACTGGATTGTCGATGTTGGTCGTCATGGGAACGATGGGATCCATCCCGTAGTTGAGGGAAAATGGTGAGTGATTAGTTGTCACCGATGGGGCGTTGTTTTAGGAACATTCGAGCATGGGCAAGAATTCTTCCCACCGGGCGGGGTCGGGGAAGTTGGTGCGTATCAGCTGCTCCCTGATATGGTTGGTGCATTCAGTTTGCCCGTCGGTTTGCGGGTGGTAAGTGGACGAAAACTGCAGACGTGTTCCATACTGTTCCCAGGTCTCTTACTGTTCCATGCCGTTCATGGTCAGTTGGAATATAGAGGGTGCATTTGTGAGGCCAAAAGGCATCACCGTGTACTCGTTGCTGCCGTAACGGGTTCGGAACG